GGGGTGATTTGCGGATTTCATGTAGTAGAAGGGCTGATTTGCCAGTGTTTCTTGTACAGGGGCTGAATTGCCACAACATTGCAGGTACAGGGGCTGAATTGCACCTTCTGCCTAAAAAAATTTAAGATTACATGTTGGGATTTTCTTGAGTAGATTTGTTAATCCCTCATCTTTCTACCTTTTTACTTTTCTATTTCTCTTTTTTTTCTTTCATACAAATAAGGGTTAGGAAATGTCGTAAGATTATCACACAGACTCACGTAAGCTTTCATTCGGTGTATTAGACAAATTATTGAGGAAAAAATATGTAAATAAGAATATTAATTTTAGAAAAATTTTAATTTAAAGATATGAATTTTATTAAATTTTAATTATGACAATAAACTTTTATTTTTTTATTTAAATATATGACTTTTACTTTTTTTTTTCTATTTAATTATGTCAGTTTTATTTTTTATTTAAAAATATCAATTCTACATTTATCATGTCAATATTATCACCTAATTAATGCTTAATTAAAAAAATATAAAATTAACACTTTTAAATAAAAAAATTATAGCCTTTTAACGACAAAATTTGCTTTTACCCCCTTATCTTACTATGATACTTTAGCCCCTCATCTTATATTATGACACTCTTAACCTCTCAATTATTAAAATTGAAGAAAATAATATTTAATTTGTAACATTTCGTTACTTTTATTAGTTGACTGTTAATTCTATTAGCTGACTATTAGTTAATTATTAGCTGACAAAAATATTTTTTCAGCTAACAAAGTTAACAGAATTAATTTTATAATATTTCATTAATTTTGTTAACTGATTATTAGTTGATTAGTAATTGATAAAAATCTACTTTCAGTTAATAGAGTTAATAATCAGTATAAAGTGAAGGTTATTTTTTTTTATTTTAATATGTAATGGGTTAAAACTTGTAAATTTAGTAAAATGAAAAATTAAAAGTGTCATAATATAAAATTAAGAGTTAAAACCTTCAAACTTATAAGACGAGGAGCTCAAAGTAAGTTTTTACCGCATTTCCGTCATAAAATATTCAACTAATTTATGATTGGATATTTACCTTATATTTGAGTCCATTGATTTCTATTATTAATTTCTTCATTTTAGAGTATTGGACGGACATGAAGAGCACAATTACATATATATGGGAAAGTTTTTATCAGGAAAAAATTAAGCGAAACGTTTTTAATTAAAATAACACCATTTTGCCAACAACCTGCTTCCTTCCTTCACCCTCATTTTTCCGACTGATTTAATTCAGCATCCCTAACCTATGTTGATTTCTCTTCCTTTGTTCCTCATCTATAATGCCCTTCTTCACTTGTGATTTGTTTATTTTATTGTTAGATCTCTCTATTAATTTTCTATTCCATTAAAAGAGGTAAATAAAATGTGTAGTACTCTATTTTTATGCTAAAAGAACAGAACAGAGTTCCCTTTTCCCTTAGTTCTCTATTCCATTTTGATAATTTTAGTTCTATTTCCTAGTAGTATGGTGGGAAATGACGACAAAGGACAGTAGCTTATGTCGACTCCTCCATGGCTATTCACTAGTGCTGCCCATCACGTCAGCTTTATTTTTAAGAAAATTTTTTATTTATACTTTAAATATTATTATTTTTTATTTTTAATATTTAAAATTTTTTAAATTTATATAAAATTAAAAAATTAACCAATAAAATCTCTGTTTGTTTTTATTTTTTAATAATGTTGATTAAAAGAAAAAATTTTTAAAGTTATTAATTAGAAAAAATAATATTTAAAATATCAATATTAAACAACAATCTAAACACAGGGTAATTCTAAAATTACCAAAAAACAGTAATTATTTGTTTATTTAACAATGAAATAAATCTAAAAACTACTTAAAAACAAAATATATCATTTATCATTTATATTAACTTTCTCATGGCCCTGGCCACAATTTTTTTTTTTTTTTTTGTCTTTGATAAACATTCGAGTAGTCTAGATCAAAAAATAGATAAAATAGATCAGAGCTGTTTTTTTTTTATTGTGCACTCAAAATAAACTTGGAATGGCATTTTGACTTTTGAGACTCCCATTTTTGTTCCTTTCTCAAGCGGTTTTGATACGCTGATTCCACACCGACATCAAATTGACTTCGTGCTCTTAATTTGCTGGAAAATATCGATGGAATTATGCAGCAGTCTGAGATTAACTTAAATCACCTCCTATACTCAGCATCAAAAGTTCATAGAGAAATATGGTATTTAAGTCTTACAGTAAATTTTACACCAACATCAAATTGATTTTGCTTGATCTGCATGTGTTCATGATTTATAAAGATATTTTTGTCTTTTTACGCTATGGGTTGAAGATTTTTGTGTAGAATTAAGAACTCACCTGCAAAACAAATACCAAACCGGCTGCAGTTGAAACCATTTTTCTTTCAATCGGGTTCTCCAAGAAATAAAATATCTATATGATTGGAAAATTCATGATCTTGCATTCCCAGAAATTAAATTGATTTGATGAGGAAGAGCCGAGAAAGAAAATTAAAACAGACTCCATAAATTCATTAAGAAAAATAAATGAGTTGCAAAACCTAGCTACCATTACACAAAGGTTGGCAATTTATGCGTTTATCTCATTTTGATAATAGGAAGAATACCATCTTTATCTTCAGATTAATCTCATATCTCAGAGTTTAATATGTGTTTTCACTCATTATAATTTAATTTACTGCTCAAGAAACTACTAATAATTTTTACAATGAATGGCAATCTTTTGGACTCTAACGATTTCTCACTAACCGCCTTTAGATCTGGATGAGCACCAAGGTTCTTAGTTCCTAATGTTAGTCGAGCAAATAATGACAAACACGGATCATCTGGTAGCAATTTAGATGGTAACCTTTATCATTTCCTTTCATGGTTCTTGCAACATTGGTGTCTTGACTCGAGTTGTAACAGTTATTTTACTTTCAGGTGCTGTTGATGGGAAAAGTCTTTGCAAGATATCCCTAAGGTTGTAGTTTTTTAAGTTCCAAACATCGTCTAAAACGAGTAAAAACTGGTTCCCTAATAACTTTCCTTTAATTTCTCTTGAAGCAAACTATCGTCAAGAAAATCACCCCTTTCTTTTTGTTCCTTGCTGTAAAACGGTTCTTGTTATCCAGAGAATATCAAAATCGTTAGAAACACAAACCCATGCTTTCAATTCAAACCTACACTACAGTTTTTCATTGTTGTAAACAAGTTGAGCCAAAGTGGTCTTTTCCATTCCTTGTATCCCAACAATGGGAATAACAAAGTCCTCATTACTGAGCAACATTTGAAGAACAACCTCTTTATCACTCACGACCATAAACATGACGTTCCGGTCGAGAAGAAGTAAGTGGTCTTCTTGAAGCTTCTTTTTTGGATTTTTTGCCATCTTCGACCCTCATGAGACTGATCAACCCTAGTGCTCTTGTTCCAGTTTCAAAATGTTGCAATCTGGTTGTGATATCCTTTACCTTGGAAGCAGCTTCTCAATCAAACATGGATCTTAAAACCTTAGAACATGAGGGGAAGAGTCTTTGCACCTTATTGGAGTTGTATTGAGGTTTTTCATTCAAATTGCGTGTGTTGCTATCAATCTCAAATTTTTCAAGGACATCTTACATCTCATGAGCCAAGCTATTGAGGTCAGCAAGCCATAAAGGCCCGGTCAGTTACTTGCTTCTCTTCTGCATCTTCAAGTAGAGCCATGATTTTTGGCAAAAGAGCCTTCCAATTTCGCAGCTCAGCAACTAATTTCTTTTCAAAGATCAGCAATTCTCTGGAATCTAACTTTTCTAGAAGCAACTTGAATGCAGCGGATAAAAAAGAGTCTCCAATAACAGATACATCTTCCCATGGAGATTAGAGGCTGCTGCTACAATAAGTCTTACACCCTCCTGTCCAATGTATGCCTATCCACCTGCCAGAAAGACTAACCTTAGATTCTTCTTTTAAAACTTTGCCTAAAGGTATTGATAGATTCGTTCAGAATGCCGAAACAAAAGCAAATATATATCTTAACATATCATAATCAAATTTCCAAAAGTCCAATCCCTAGCAATGCAATTGGATATGTTCTCTTTCTTCATCAATAGTTTTGTTGGTTTAGAATGATTTTGCTGATTTTGCTGTCATAACTTAACATACGAATTAATTCTTCTGCATTTGTTGTTGATCATACAGTTTATCATTCTTTCTACTTTTTAAATATGCATTAAAACAATAAGAATAGCATAATGATAAGCCTAAACAGAACATAATAAAGTTATCATCATGATCTATCCAATTCAAATAATGAAATAAGCAACTTAAATTTACAAAAAATTTAAACAGGAGCAAAAAAGTTACCATCAAGTTCAAATGCCAATTAAATACAGCTTTAAAATGCCAAAATCTTCAAGTTCCTAGTGAAATAAATGTTTATGATAGGACACAAATGAGCTTTCTTGCTCAATGTTGTGCTCCCTTATTGTTAAGTGAGAAATCTCACATTGATCAACAAAGCAGAAACTTGTGAATGTGCAACTGCCAAACTCAGAATACAAAAATGAAATGGCAGATCAACTAATCTTTGTTTCTTTCAAAGCATAAAAGCAGAGGTCATAAGGTCACAAGCAAATGTAAGAGAAAATTGAGTCGCTCTCTCCAAGAGGAAAATTTGGTACAGAGGATGCGCTGATCAAATCTCAAAATGTTGGAAGCCTGAGATAGCAACTTTCTAAGCTGCAGCAATCAAACTTTTTTCATTTGAAGGAGGCTCAAGCTTCTCATAACAGAAGGTACCCCTCTGATACTTGGGCTTCTGCAAGAAAAAAAGAATATTTACTTGATAATAATAGCATTTCAGTTAACATATCTGATATCCTGAACAATAGGGTGGAAAAAAACAACCACTAATATCATTATTACCTTTTGCTTGACTCAGCCAAGTTGATAAAAATTTGCAATTCAAATTAGAAACTCTTGCAGAAAGGCATGCTTGACCTTGACAAAATCATATCACAAGCTCGTCAGTTGTCATTATCTTTATCTCAATTATATCTTGACAAAGGAAAAACAATTTCTTAAAAAATGCAAAGAGAGAAAACAAGGTATCTAGAGGACTAAACTGTATTACTTTTGTTATTTGCATTTGAAGCACAATCTAGTTACAAGCTTGGTAATATCTCCGCAGATTACAACCTTTCCTCTTCCAGTTTCCAGAAAAATCCCATTTGAATGCGTTGTTCTGTACGCCACTCCAATTTCTTCAAAATGGAAAGAAAGAAAAAATAAATATATATGCAAGATTTTGCAAGAATTTACTACAATTTTTTTAAAAATGTTTTGGTAAGTTATTTACCACATAGATGAGAGTCAGATGGGAAAACAATAAAATTTTAAAATGCCCTAATATTATATTAATAAAGTTTGTTACAAAAGAGCTTTCTTAAAATGTCTGAGGTAGCAACTTTATAATTTCATTTCCACTGAAATGAGGATTTAACTTCTTCTTTTTCGGTACATGAGGATTTAACTTCTTAAAACAAAAGGAATCCATTTGCAGGAAAAAAGAAACCTTATTCCTTGATAATAAACAACAGTTCAGTTAAACATATTTGATGTCTTAAAATCACCATTACCATTTTTTAACTAACTCAGCCTTGCAGAAAGAAACTTGCAAATTTAAAATGCGCAATAAGTCTTCCTTCCAGCTAGAAGAAACTCTTGTAGAAGAGCATGCTTTAAGCTAGAAAGAATCAGATTACAAGCTTTTCAGTTGTCAATATTTTCATATTGATTCTTAGCCTAAACAACGGAAAACAAGTTCTCAAAAATGTAAAGAGAGAAATCATACGAGGTGTCTCCAAGACTGATTTGTATTGATTTTGTTATTTGCATTTCAAGCACAACTCTGCTACAAGCTTGGCAATATCTCCACAGATTATAACCTTTTCCTCTTCTAGATTGTAGAAAAATCCCCTTAGAATGTCTTGCTCTGTTGCCTCCTCCTTCAATTTATTCAGAATGGAAAGAAAGAAAAAATAAATGAGGTATTTGAAGTTAGGAAAAGAATTCCAACTTCCAGAAAGTAATCATATCTCAAAACATACCTTTCCTGCAGGCATTCAACCTTCTCATAATCAATTCTACTGAAGGCCACCCTTTTTCTATGATGCCTCTTCTTGAAATCAGGGTTAGAGCACTGCATAGAGTATATAACTATTTTCATTTAACCAACACCTAAAAGGTAAAGTGATTCTTCTAATGTCAGAATAGCACAAACAAAGATTGAAACTAACACCAATGGTCCAGGATATGTGACATTAATTGTTCTAAGAAAACAGAGGCATTAGCAAAAAGAAATGTTTGCAATAGAGTTCAAGTGATCTATCATCAGATCTAAAATAAACCAACTCATCAAATAGGGTAAATTTAAGCATTAAACTTACTTTGAATTTGCATGGATTTCTCTTTCAATAGCCATCCCTCATCTTCACAAGGCATTGTTGGATTGTGTCAGTGTGCTGAAGTTTGCAAGACACTGCATCAAACTGCTTTCTTATGTCAAGAGCCATTTCAAGTACATCAAATTGGACAAAATCCTGTTACTCAAACCATACAATGTCTTTAAAAGATTCTAACATTTATATTCAGGAACCCCTTCTGTTAATCTTCTTCCAGCAAATGAACCGACAAGTATGACATGGAATGCTTTATCACTTCAATTGCGATGTATCATAAAATGAATGCCTTTTATTCACATCGGAACACAAAAACCAAATGTACATACAAGATTTTGCATGAATTCACCACAACTAAGCATAACTCAAAACATGGGAGATAATAAAATTGAATGAAATTGGAAAAACAATAAAATTTGCAACTTCCAGAAAGTAAGCCTATCTCACAACATACCTTCTTTCCCAAGAACCAACCTATTTATGATTGAATCCACTAAGGTTTCTCTACATCCCTTCTTTTATGATGCCTCTCTTCTCTCTTTTTTTTTTTTTTGATCAGCAAAAGATAGTATTATTAAGTTGGAGGACAAGGGGTACTCCTACCTGTACAAAAAGAGTAGATTATAAGGGTAGGGTGATACTATCAACACATTCATACAAAAGTTACCCCAAAATCTACTCCAAATATAGATCATCCAAACAGTGATGGCATGACCTTCCTTATCTTACAACTGTTTTCATCCCCATGTGATCTTTGCTGGGCAAGTAAGGCATCCTTTTTGATGCCATTTCGCAAGCGTGAGCAGGACATATATACCATAGCTCCTTAGAGATTTCTGGCCACTGTTTTGCTTTAATCCATTGGAAGGTTTGGAATTTAATCACCTCGATTATCTTGTACTGAGGTTCCAATTTTGCCTTAAAGATCTTCTGATTTCTCCATAGCCACATATTCCATACAACTGCAAACCAAATCACCTTCCAAGCTTCCTTTGCAAATTTATTGTTGAAAAGTCCTGCATGCTGGATCAGGTGGTTCCAGCCCTTTTCTTTGGACGCCACATTAATACCCCACCACTGATAAAACGATGACCACACCTTCCATGCTATTGGACATGAAAACGAAAGATGTCTACGCTTTCAGCCTCTTTCCCACATAAAACACATGACTGGTCTTCTTCACTGCCCAGCACTCCTCGTTTCTGTAGATTTTCTTTTGTTGGGATTCTATTTTGCATCACTTTCCAAGAAAAAGCGGCAACTTTTAATGGTACCCTTCTATTCCATATCAGATTGTAGTCTCCAGGCAGATCAGGGATGGGTGTTGTATTTAATAGATTGTATGCAGAGGACACTGAATATTTGCCTCTAGGGTCCTGCTTACATATCCATTTGTCTTCTTGTCCTTGAACCAACTTCCTTTTTTGAACTTCCTCTCTAAGTTCCTGCAAGATGTCAATTTCCCAAGCAAAAAGTTCTCTCCTCCAACTCCAAATGGAAAGGGTATGAACAATTTGTTTCTAGAATGCATTCAGTCTCTTTATCTTTGGATGAGATGCTGTACTCTTGGAGGGGATTTGGCTCTGTTTTGCACTGATACCTTTTTTTTTTTGGGATAATTTTAATTTTATTTATTCAATAGAAACTTACTAGCATTGTAAACACTGCTAATACAAAAGAGTTACCTATGCACTCAAACTGTCAAAACTCAATACTGTTGATGCTTGTTGTCTAAATTTTGTCTACGGGATGTTTGATAGGGGTTTGGGCATTAGCTTTCATGGTTAATTAATGATCTTCCAGATTGATCAATGGGAGAAAAGCAGAATTTTTGAATTAATTGAGGTCATCAAGTAGCTTCTGTGGTTAAAGAGGGAGCTGGAAAGTGTTGCATGTATGTAGATGAGATAAAAAGGTTGTTAGAATAACAGATGATGGGTGTTTGAGGCTAAGCAGCTAGCTCTGGAGTTTTACATCGTATTTTGCAGAGTTTCGTTTACTGTTTGTAAGGATAATTTTGTATATTGTCAAGTACAAGTTGATTTAGTTGAATTTAGTGATAGTTTTCTTTGTAATTAAAGATTTCATGTATGATTCATACATACTTTGAATTATATATTTTTAGTGCATAAAAAATCTTCATTTATTCTGTTTCAATTGTTAATTTAGTTGAATTTAGTGAAAGTTTTTCTTTGTAATTAAAGATTTTTGTTTGAATTATATATTTATAGTTTTCAGTTGGAGGAGTTTATTTCTCTATAATATTATTTGTGGGAAACAAAATGTTATCTATTTTGTTATGAATGATTGATGTTTACTTGAATTATATTACTAAAAAATCCTCATCTATTCTGTTTTAATTGTAAATGCAGTTGGAACACGAAGCATGCAAGGCCTTTTGTAAGATGCCTGGAATCAATGACATGTTCGTACCCTTTAATGAAGAGTTCATGAAAATAAATGCAGAAAGTTTAAAGGTATGATCGATGATCTTTAATTTATGCACTTTCTATCAAAACTAAGAGGAGATGGGTTGATGATCCATGAAATAATAGCAATTACAAATAAATGTGATAAATATTTAATTTCATATATTTGCCCTGAAAATTTTGTTTTTATCTTAATTTGTTTTTTGTTTGTCAAATGAAGGGTATCACAGAGCAAGCACCAGAGTTGACAGAATACCTCAAGCGGCCTGAAAAATATTTAATGGTGTGATTACATATGCCTTACTTCCTTCCAAGTTCAAACCATGCAACTTTTCTTTTTGGTTTTCACCTCATTTGTTTTATTTATCATTTTGGATGCATTAACCATGTCAACATTCAAACGCAAACCTAATGGTTTGATTGAAAGTGGTTTTAGATAAATTATTTGATTTTTTCTGGTGCTGATGAAAAGGGTATGAACATTTGTTTCTAGAATGCACTTAGTCTCTTTATCTTTGGATGAGATGCTGTACTCTTGGAGGGGATTTGGCTCTGTTTTGCACTGATACTTTTTTT